TCCGTCGTTTGCCTGGCTCATGCTGCCACTCTGCCACTGACTAGTCAATTTTTCCCCTCAAAAGGCTCTCACTTGTGACCAAAATAGCACTCTCCTGCTTCCTGTGGTGATGGAAAAATCACTCAGATGCCTGATGTGCTTATCAGAAATCTGGGTAGGTGTGACTGGCAGCAGAGAACACCTGTCCTGGAAAGACAAGTGCATGGTAGCCATTATTCCAGTGGTTGCTTTCACTGCACAGCAGTAGATAAGGTCTTTCTTCAACTATTTTGATATTATGAAAAGATTTCAATTTCAAACGAATGCTCGCAGATTTGAGCTTGGTGTATTTGAGAAATGTTAAAATTATGCTGGAATCTTACCAATCTTATCAATCTCTTCAAATTGCTGTTTCCAATACTTTGTGTAATTTAATGACTCTTGTTTATTTATTTCTTTAACAGAGCTATAAGGTATAAACCTGAGGTAGAAAAACACATAATCCCAGAACACAGCTTATTGAGAAACATGGTATTTGATGAAGAATTTCAAGGGGAACAGCTTGTGACAGAAGGTAAGCCAATGACTTACTGAAAGAAAAATGTAATACCTGTTTTTCGGTGGAAAAATGTGCTTTTAGGCTTGAATCCTAGTTATTTTACCACTACTTCTTTTCTGATAAATGTAGAAGCAAAATTCTTGATTTGGACGGGTGTATTTGGTTTATGAGGCCAGGTTTTGATAGCAGGGGGGACTACAGGGGTGGCTGCTGTGAGAAGCTGCTAGAAGCTTCTCCCATGTCCGACAGATCCAATGCCAGCCGGCTCCAAGGGAGACCTGCTGCTGGCCAAGGCCGAGCCTATCAGCAATGGTGGTAGTGCCTCTAAGAAGCAAAATTCTTGATTTGGACGGGTGTATTTGGTTTATGAGGCCAGGTTTTGATAGCAGGGGGGACTACAGGGGTGGCTGCTGTGAGAAGCTGCTAGAAGCTTCTCCCATGTCCGACAGATCCAATGCCAGCCGGCTCCAAGGGAGACCTGCTGCTGGCCAAGGCCGAGCCTATCAGCAATGGTGGTAGTGCCTCTAGGGTAATGTGTTTAAGAAAGGGGAAAAACCTGAGCAACTGCAGCCAGAGAGGAGTGAGAATGTGTGAGAAACAACCCTGCAGACACCCAGGTCAGTGAAGGAGGGGGAGGAGGTGCTCCAGGTGCTGGAGCAGAGATTCCCCTGCAGCCCGTGGTGAAGACCATGGTGAGGCAGGCTGTCCCCCTGCAGCCCATGGAGGGCCATGGTGGAGCAGATATCCACCTGCAGCCTGTGGAGGAGCCCAGGCTGGAGCAAGTTTGCTGTCAGGACTTGTGAACCTGTGGGGGACCCGCACTGGAGCAGTCTGTTCCTGAAGGACTGCATCCCGTGGAAGGGACCCCACGCTGGAGCAGTTTGTGAAGAACTGCAGCCTGTGGGAAGGACTCAGGTTGGAGAAGTTCATGGAGGACTGTCTGCCATGGGAGGGACCCCATGATGGAACAGGAAAGACTGTGAGGAGTCCTCCTCCTGAAGAGGAAGGAGCAGCAGAGACAGCATGTAATGAACGGACCACAACCCCCATTCTCTGTCCCCCTGCACTGCTGGAGGGGAGGAGGGAGAGCAATCTGGAGTAAAGTTAAGCCCAGGAAGAAGAGAGCGGTGGGGGAAGGTATTTTAAGGTTTGGTTTTATTTCTCATTACCCTACTCTGATTTGATTGGTAGTAAATTAAACTAATTTCCCCAAGTCTATTTTGCCCATGATGGTAGTTGCTGAGTGATCTCCCTGTCCTTATCTTGACCCACAAGCCTGTCATTATATTTTCTCTCCCCAGTCCAGCTGAGGAGCAGGGTGACAGGGTGACTTTGGTGGGCACCTGGCGTCCAGCCAGCGTCAACCCACCACAACTGAACGTGCTTTCTTTCATTCAATGCTTGTCTGTTTAAACAATTTACTCTACTTTTCTTCTAGTAAAATGAAACCCCAGTCTGTGAGTGGTACAGCATTAAAAATGCTTAGTGTATTTGGAGGCTATTTGCTTTATTACTAATAATGGGAAAAGATTCGATTTCTTGTACACAGATATATTTGAAAATTGAGAGGCAGACAACTTTGACATGAAAATATATATTTGCCTTCCCAAACTAAATAGTTTAATTATTTTTTTATGTACTTCTGCTTGTGTTAGCAAGGAATTTATTAAAAAAGAATGCAGTATATGTGTCTTTAACACAACCCCCAACACCCAAACCATGAAAAAACCACCCCACCCCCCAAACTGTTCAATCTCTTGAGTGTCTTGAACAAGTTTAATGTTAAAGCCTATTCCTTGAGCTAGTTCTATTCACATGTGGAAAGATTTTACTGTTTTAAGGCACTACACCTGAATAAATATTGTAGTCT